GGTCAAAAATTGTCCAAAAACGCGTGACGTCATTTATGGACGGCCCCTTACCCGAAACGTTTGAAGGCTTGAAGAATGTGTTATAAAGCGTTTTTGTTATTTGTGCACCACTGTCAAATAATCTGTTCCTGGTCGTGACCTCATGGTCCTTGCCCCTACCGGACAGATGTGAAAAAGAGCTTCATAGCTCATCGGATTTATCCAGGATTTATAAGGATTCTGACCTTTGACATAGCGAAAAAAAAATCTGTGACTTCCTGCTGCCCAAATGAACGTCGAGGCATTGGTGCGCATCTCCTATTTGGAGACCTGCAGGGCCAGTGGTGGAAATTCCACATTGCCGTGGGTGGTATGGCGAGTTGATCGATATATCAATCGCTGTTGAATATCCCCACAAAGCAATACTAATTTTATCGACCCCGGAGGGATTGATGGACTTCACCATGATTCGAACTCTCAAACTTTCGATTGCGAGCCGCTCGCTCTCAACTAAATGTCCACATTAGGATGGCGGAAGAGATCTTATCCATGGGATAATCACCTATCATTTCCCCCACAATGCAGTGCCGGATTAAGCTCGTGCGGGGCCTGTAACATATGTTATAAATGGGCCCGACATTTTATTTGAAAAAAAACATTTCTAAAAAAGGTTTAACTTGCACAGTAAAGTAATTTTATTTTTCATTTGCTATACAGCCAGATAATACGAAAAATCGCTAACCTTAAACAACCAGTCCTTCATAGAAGTTGAAGGCGGTATAGTACTATAGTAATAAAGCAAGTGCAGAATCACTGAACCGGCATTTATCGCGGGGCCCTTGAAGGTGCGGGCCCGTAGCATGTGTAGCTACTTTTGCTACTCGGATAATCCGGCACTGCCAAAATGGCATTCATTTTTTTCGACCCCTGAAGGATAATGATGATGATGACGATGATGAAAGGCTTCAGTAAACACCCCAAACAGGATTTGAACTGAACTCATCCCCGCTGCTCAGCGCTGCGGGAGTTGGTTGTGTAAATGGTTAAACGTGTGCAGGAGCGCGTGACATCGCTTACACGCGGGCAAGGGCTTAATGTGGGGATCCCGTCGGATGCTGCTGCTGCTGCTCACGGCTGGGTGGATGAGTGACCAACTGGCGATTAGCTCCACCCGAAGCGACCCCAGGGGCCACGCGGAACGACCCCTCTGGTCGCGCTCATCTCCTCCGCAAGAGGGATGGAGGGGGGGCAGATAAAGCCAACGGGTGTCATTCGCAGTTCCATCCACAGCCTCTTTGTCAATTCACTGTTGGATGAAGGCCTCGTGCCGCGAGGTTGTGGGGGGGTATTTGAGTATATTTCACCACGCTGGTCAGGGCGGGGTGGTAAACTGGAGGCTAAGAACGCGCTCAGATGTCGCTCAACACTTCGGTTTAGCTGCAGCTCAGGCGGTGTCTCCACGGGCGCGAGATTGGATGCGTGGCATCGCAGAACTGACGTGACAATGGCGACGGCGTGAGGATGCCGTCATCCAGCAGTGGTTACACCGTGTCTCGGTATTTTGGTGGCGGCTTTGAGGTAGCGTTCATCCAGTAGTGGATAGACCACGTCGGATGGCGGTGAATTGAAACCGCGGCCAGGAAATTGCACAAAACCAACAAATGAATGGTTAACTCGCAATGCGCGGCGGGTAAAAACCCACAAACCAATTAAGGGACACGACTTGGAAAATCATCTCAAGTGTGGAGGCGCCTGGGCGCGTGCAGCGCCAAAAACTCACGGGCAGATTACCCTCTTCTAATTAAATGTCATCTGCGGTACGCGACTTTCAATTACAATCGATTCAAACTGAGAACCAGGTGCTGAAATCAGAGGCGCGCGCGCGCCGGGGATTAATTTCCCCCGTTGAGTGAAGCACTTCGAATTAGAGCACACCCGCGGGTTAATGACTTCGCCAACAGCTGCTAGTCGGATTATTACCATGAGAGGTGACAGCGGTTCGGGAACGCATTCATCCAGCAGTGGATGGACCATGGCTGATGGTCACAATCACAGCTCTCAACGTGGATAAACGATGTTACAATGGTTGCCTGTCACTGCGTGTCTCTGTGTGCGTTTAAGTTGCACTTCTTTCGCAGCGTCTGTAATCAACCGCGCTAATCGGAGGTGCGGGGGAAGGACAACAAACTAAACACAAAAAGCAGTTCTAAATAAACGAGTTGTCAATCGAGATTTTAAAAGTGCATAGCTCCAGCGGCTTCCTAATATCGGAAGAGCGTTCCAGACGGCCGCAGAAGCGCGCGGTGACCGCCGTCTCTGTTCGATGGCCCAGCCATCGCCCCTCCCTGCTGCCAGGATGACCGGAAATGGCGTGAAGGTTTATGCTCCTTGACGGGATCAGCAGGGTTCATTTGTGTCGTCTCTCCGATCTAATCTCTGCACTAGGATCCGGCTCAGCCCGGCCTCAATGCCGATCCCCACTGAGCCCCCACCGTTGCGAGTCGGTGAGGCTATGGGAGATTGGGGGGGGGGGGCAGTCCTTGATGAACGCGTACGGTACGCGACATTCACTCGCGTCTTCGTCATTCGCGATGTGTCGAGGACTCGAACTCGCGACTTTAGTTTGCGGTCCCTGCCCGTGAGTGAGCCTCAGCCCAGCCAAAGAGCCGCGGAGCACAAGGTGTGGGGCATGGCTACGAGGGTTTGTGTACAGGTGTACAGCACAGGTGTGTGTGTGGAGTGCAGGTAAATGATTGAGCAGGACATGCATGGGGTTTTGGTCCCGGGGTATTTATTTACAGGTGTATCGTACAGGTGAAAGAGGGCTGTGTACAGGTGAAGGAGGAGGCCCTTAGCCCGCAGTGGACTGTCTAGGGTGCTCCAGATGTCTTGTGACTTCCCCAAATAATTCACCCCGATTTATAATTTGCGTATTCATGTCTGTTTTAAGTAAAGCCTTACCTTTAAAAAAATACGTTTTAGAGAATTTAACGGGGGTCACGAGACATCTGGACCAGCCTGCACAACGTGCACAGGTAAAGGAGGAGTGTGGTGAAGGGGTGGGAGGAGGAGGGGGCTTGTGGAACGTACAAGATTAGATGCATTAATGTATTATAATTATATCACTATGTAACACAATTTTTGTTCCTGGGTACAAAGTGTTATTTTTTAATTGTTTATGCCTAAAAACTATATTAAATGGATATGATTCCCCACAAACTTTTCTTTTGTGACCAGGACTTTATGTGAACGAAAGACACAAATGCACACCACGTTTTCTCATTGACAATAGGTTCATCTCAAAATATCACTGCCCTGGTCACAAAAGCAAAGTTTGTGGGGAATAATAGCTATTTTCTTTACTTTTGAGGCATAAGCAATAAAAAAAATAACACTTAGTACCCAGGAACAATTTGTTTTTGTTACACGCTGAATAATGGTCACCGATTGCAAGCACGTGCCGATTGCAGGCTCACGGCGGCGTGCCGCTGGCGAAGAAGAGTCGCTGCAGCGACAGGGAGCGACTTGGGAGACCGCGTCATTGCCGTGCGCAGGTGCGGCTCTGCATGAGTTTCGCTCCTGGGCGGGGTATCGAGTGACAGCGTGTGCTCGCTAATGCCTCTCTTAATCGCGCATCGCTTTCAATTTCAATAAGTCGTTTTTAGAACCGTACAAAGATCCCCGCCTCCTTTGCTCGAGCAGCCTGTCAGGGAGAGGTGAGGGGAAGCGAGCGCTGTCGGCGAGCACCTATTAATGCCTGCCGGGCGCGCGAGGCGCTGGGCGGTGTGGATAGCACCAGGCCCGACCGCCTTTGTCTCCACCGACAATTGAGGGCGGATAGGAGAGAAGGGGGCAGAGTTGGGGTCAGGGCGGTGGTCGTGAAGACACCTGCCCTCGGGGGACCTCCACTCCCCCTCGCCACCTCCCCCCCTCCCCCCCTCCCCCCCTTTTCCGCGCACAGGTAACCCGACTCCTGTTCGTTCGTTCCCCGAGGGGGAGGGAGGCAAGAGGTGGCTGCTTTCAATGATCTCCGAAGCTAAGCAGGTTAAAGCCTGGATGGTGCCTATTTTGGCGGTCGGCCGCCCATGCATAACAGGTGACATAGGCTGCTGCCGCGGGCTTCGTGGCGGGCAGCGGAGTGGAGTGTAGGAAACCCCATTGTTGTAGTGCAGCAAATCCCATTGTTGTAGTGCACCAAGCCACATAATATCCATATTTAAGGATTATCAAGGACAGCTTCGTCACTCAACAAGTGGACGATGCGAGGAAAACCATGAAAGTTGGAAATCCTATCCCATCCCCCTTCGCCACCACTCCACCCCGGGTGTTTGATGCAACCCGAACACCGCAGCCCCCACCCTGGGGGTGGGGGCTTGGTAAACAGCGGGGCCCCGGGGGAGTCGCGAGTCCCACTGCTGCAGGGCACGGTCAGGTCCCGCGACTCCCTGTCAATTAGAACTCCCCTGTGCACCTCACCACGCTTCAACACTCGCCTCTCCACCTCGCCCTAACTCCTGTCCGCCTACCTCACCTGTACACCTATCACCCCAGTATACCTCGAGCGTGTACACCTGGTCACACCTGTGCACCTCTCACACATGTGTACCGATATCGTGTATATCTGCCACGCGCGACATGTGCCCCTATCGCACCGGGATTCTTCTCCCACGCGTGCGCCTCACACCTGTATACCTGTGGCCACGCACGCACTCGTTTGAATTTTAAAACGTGTTTTTTTACGTTGGAGGGGAGACCATCACCGTGGCTGCCACGTCCCAAACCCGCCCCCCTCCCCTCCACCTCTCTCACCCCTCCCCGCCTCCACTCCTTCCCTACCTCCACTCCCTCCAGCTCGCTCACCTCCACTCCATCTCCCCTGCCTCCACCCTTCTCCCCTCCACCTACGCTCCCTCCACCTCCTCCCTCCACCCGCATCCCCCCTCACCGCGGCCAATGACGGCTCAAGGTGTGCTGCCAGGCGCGCTGACGTCACCTCATTTGCATGGTTACGTGGGCGCGGAGCAGGCAGGTAAGGACTCGCGCGACTTCCACCCGCGGCTGAGAAGACTCACGGACGCTGCCGCCGCCTCCTCCTCTATTCATCCCCCGCCACCTCTAACCGCCCGGTTTCTCGGTGGAACCTCCGGAGGATTGCGAAACCCGTGCTTGGAGGCGAACTGGGGGACCAACACCGCAGCTCACGGGCTAAATCTGCGAGTCTCGGCGCGCCGGCCTGACGCGCGTCCACTCCACCTCGACTCGCCCCGTCACCTCGCCCCCCCGTCCCCGCAGCCGCCTTCTTCGTCGCCTTGGCCCGTGGATTGTGAAGGTGACCCAGGGCCCTCGAGCGGCCACGTCCCGAACACCACCAGCACCACCCCCCCCGTGCAGCTGCTGCTGCTGTTGTTCGTCAAGACCGAAGGTGACGTCTCTTCCTCGAGTCATGAGCTCCACCGCAGTCGGCACCCCGAGCTACGTGGTGCTGCTGTTCGGAGCCACGGCTGGCTCCCAGGGGGCGCGGCTTGGCTCGGACGAGCGCGAGATCGTCCTCCTCGTGTGGCAGGCGCTGGACGTCGCCAGCGGCAAGGTGCTTACCGACAAAGACTGCGCGTCGCGTGGGGGGGGGGCACGGATAAGTGGAGAGGTCTTGGGTGGGGGGGGGGCTCGGGGTAGCGGAGAGGTCTCGCGTTGGTGTGCTCGGGGAGGAGTGGGGGTGTGTGTGGGGGGGGGCATCATTCTGTTCCGCGCAGCCACGGCGGTCGTTATCGCGAAAGCGATGGAATGTTGAATGCATCTGTGCGGAGCTTTGAAATGAGAGTTGACACCCTCGGATTCCTCCCACGTAAAGCTGAACGAGGCGCGAATGGAATTGGTCAAAGTTCTCAAATGTCGCAGGATCCTCCTGGGGGAAAAAAAACCTCGGCCAGGCAGTGTCGCCGCGCGTGCTCCCAACGTGGTGGTGGTGGTAGAGGGGTTGGTGGTAGTGGTGGTAGAGGTGGTGGTGACTACGTTACAAGAGACGGCCGTGGGCAATGCAGGTAACGCAGGCGGATTATGAGAAAGCGAAGCGAGAACTTTACACGTGGCCTGTGGCCTGCCCTGCTGTATGGGGGGGGGTGGGGGGGCGGTGGTGGTGGCGATATTGGTGTCAACCTTGGCTCGGATAACGAGTCGTAATGAGCTTGATTAACGACGATTAGCAGATTAATCCTTTAACTGATAGGAAATTGAAAAAAATGACCAGCTGCCTTGGGCAGCCCCGGCATGTAACGCATCTTTGGGCACATCCACCGCGGGAGACGGAGCGATGAGAAATGGGTTCGCGCGCAGGTGCCTGGGTGGAGCTTTTAAGTCGCTCGATCGTGAGATGGCGACGGCTCGGGGCTGGCCTCCATCCAGTAGTGGATTGAGCGTGGCTCGTGGTGGTGCGTCATTGACAGCCCACGCCTTGGCGTGCGGCTTGGTCACGGGGAGCTCTTGGGGTGCGGCGGGCAGGAAGATTTTTGGATGCCGCTCGCCGTGATGCGGAGTCGTGGCCTGGGATCGAACTCGGCTCGCCGAGTCAACAATGCAGGATACTGGGCAGGGGACGGCCGAGCTAAATCTGTTGTACCGTACTTGTATGCTCCCGCGTCCGTACTCTTCCCCACGTCACCAACCCCCTGCACCCTGGCTGGGCAGTGCGAGGTGCAAGTACGGCCGCAGAACCCCAGCACGGCGCGGGCAAGCTCCTCGTACAGCGGTGGATTGAGCCGATGGGCTCTGTCCCCAGCAAGTGCTGTTGTGTGTGGTGCACGAGGATTTGCCCGCCCGGCCTGTGCGAGTCTCGCGACGCGCGTGTCCCACGAGGCCCTGGCGCGGTTGGGGGGATTCTGTCGGAGCTCCTCCACGCCCGGGCGGGTGTGCGGGTCTCGCAAGCCAAGCGGGATCGAGCCTGGCTAGCGCTTGGACTAGGCGGGGGGTGGGGGCGGGGGACTTTCTGGGAGCTCGCGGGGCGTGCGCTGCGAGACGAGCGGTAGTCGCCGGATTGTTGAATCCATCCTTGCGGAGGTGTAAATGTCACCCACCCCCCCATCCCTTCCGATGCCTAACAACACTCGGGTTTTCTCTCACATTCGTGAATTGAAAATTAAATTAGCCAAACATCCAAATGGAACTGCTTTTTTGTGTTGAAGCGTCCCCCCCCCCTCCACGCGCACATTCGATTGGCACGTTTGGCTACGTACGGTGTGAAAGAAGCTCCCCATACGTAGGTACACAGCAGTGGCAGCACCCTCCCGAAAAGCTGACCTTGAGACTCGCTCGACGAAGCTTTCCTCCATAATTATTGGATAATTATATTGGTCGCGAAAGCCTGCGCGTTTAAACCAAGCTTCCCTCACTAAATAGAACACCGCAAACTGCAAGAAAGCAGCCCTCTTGAGAGGGAGGGGTTCGCACTCATGCGTGAGTAAATAACCACCAACAGCACCACCACCATCAGCAGCACCACGGGCTTGGTTGTGCTCGCCTACACAGTCGGTGCAGGTGCGGCCACGCCTCGCCCCGCCGCCGGCCCTCGCGATTCCCCGAAGCAAATGGCGCAGTGGTGGGGACAGCGAGTGGACAGGGAAGTTGTTGGGAGTGCGGTATGTTGGGGGAGGGGGGTCGACTTCGTGACTCGGTGCCCCCCCTAAGGCGATGTGCCCCCTCCCGCCCCCCTCGTGCGCCCCGCGGCCGCAGCTCGGCAGCATCCACAAGGCGCTGGTGAGGCCCGACGATTCGCCCCTGTCGGAGGAGTGCAAGGAGGAGACGGGCTTGAGAGAAGAGGAGCTCACCAATGCCGACTCTCTGGAGCAAGTCCTGCAGAAGGTGAGGCGGGGACGGCGGCTGCGTGGCCGCGGTTTGGGCCGGATCTGTGTGCGGGTCCCCCGATGCCCCCCCCCCCTCCCCAGCCCCCATCCACCCGCACTTGCCCAGCCTCTGTTGTCACAGCAGGGAAGGTGACCGCTGTGGGTGGAGGTCACTCCGAATGTGCCGCCACGTGCGGCGGGCCCTGTGATGGTAGTAAGAGATTGTTGGCTCGTCAGAGCGAGGTAGTCCAAGTCGTGAGTCGGCTCGTGGATTGTGTCACGCCTTGGATTACAAGTCGTGGATCACCAATACAATCCATATCGCAGCTCACATCGGATGCCGCTGCGGTATGTGGTGGCCGTGCTGTACAGACCGCCGATGCGTTATCTGGTTTGTGTGAATAACACGCGGTACAATAACACACGAGCTCGGGCGATGGGTTAACATCGTGGTTCGTGCAGCAGCACAGATCGTGTACTCGGACCCTGGACTCGGATCGCAGCTCGGATGGCATTCAAATCGCACCCCATCTGAGCTTGTATCACGGCTTGGTTCGCGTAGACAACGGCGTAAATCACAATCTGGATCGGGGGTCTGCGCCTCCTTGTTCAGGACCACAGTCTCGTATTAACTTGCATTGTGGCTCTTGAAATATCGAGGTTTCTTTTGCCAAATGAGAAAAAGACGTATCTTGTTATTTTGGTTGCAGACTGCTGGTCTATGATGATGGCCCATAATAAATTATAGCGCCTCATATCTCGCCTCGGACCACATCACAGTCTAGATCACGGATCCCATTATAGCGTAGGTCATAATCACAACACTCGCATCGTTAATCCAGGTCACAGATCGTATCACCACTCGGATCACAGCAGGGGCTCACGGCCCCCATCAGATCTCATTTCGCACTCCGATTCACCGTAGCAGATCGTCGCCCTGATAACCGTGCCCTCCCACCGGCCACTTGGCCACTCCTGGCTGGACCCTGGTCCCGGGGGCAGCTTGCCCTCTGGCCCGTACCAACCCCGACTGTGCTCAACATGTTGGGAGCAATGCAATAGGTTACGGAAGTTGAGCACGGAAGACACGCAACCATTCGGTAACTTGCGTGACTGTTGCTTGTGCCTGATCAACGTCACTGTTGCCTGTTGGAATGGACGCGGCTTAACGATAGGGGCTCATTGGTTTCCGATTGCGCGAGGCTGCGTCCACAACCCCCACACTGGGCGAGTCTGTGCGCACGTGCCCGTGTGTGGAGAGCGGTGGCGCGGCAGTTGTCAACACTGCGCTACAGACCCGGTGCTCAGAGTTCGATATCAAACGTCAGTGGCGAGCGAGTGGTACGAGAGAACTCATCCTGGGCTTCGCTGAAGTCAACTGAGCCGTATATGAGTACCCGATTGTTTTGTGTAAACAGCAGCACTGGGGAGACGAAGCAGGCCGGGCGTGGTTCTGGCCACACCACCCTCTCGTGTGGTGCCGTGTGACTGTCTTCATTGGTGCTCGTTAACAGCAACAGTCTGTGAAGACTATACAGGGGGGGGCGGTGTGTGTTCAGTTGTAGTGACGCTCACAACAACGAGCGGAGCGCTGAGTGGCTACTAAATCACAGCGAGTTGGTACAGTGGGCAGCACAGCTGGTGCCTCTGCCAGTCATCTCAGTCGGTGAACCCATGGCAGCTGCAGGGTCTGTTCCGTGAACTCCTGCCAGCGGGCTTTCGACACTTCACGTGGCCTCAAGTGCATCGGGCATGGCACAAGCGCCGTGGTAACGTCACTTAGTAGTGAACGGTGGTTGTATGTACAGTATGTTGAACTTCTTTCGCACCGTACGTAGCCAACCGTGATAATCGGGCATGCAAAAGTTGTTGAGTAGTCGAGACTACGAGGGGTGGGGGTACTGTGCGTGTGCTGTCCGCAAGCTCCTATTAGACCACCACTGCCACTTACACCACCGCCTGGTCCCACGGTCGTTGTGATGCTCGTGGCCCCGAATTCTCTGACATCATAATCGGTGTCTAATTGTCACCATCGTCTGCCTGTCCTTGTTCCTGGTGTGCCAACATTACCGGTTTAATGTCCCGGTGTAGATTTAGGTCATAAAATATGAGCGGGCAATGACTCGCATATTCTCTCCCAGGTAAAAAAAAGAAAAATCTTTACAAATCTCATTCGCCCCACGGCCTGCTGAGACTGAATCATTTCAGCAGCATTGATTCGGCACGAACAAACCACCCTGGTCGGGTTCCCGATGCCCGGCGTCTCGTCGGCGGCAGCGTCAGGCTTTGCGTGCATCGATGCTGGTGAACTGCCAGATGTTCACAGGCCACGAGGGCCCGGCGCTGTCGACGCGACTCCACGCGGCCGAGGTGACGCACTTAATGCGTGCAAATGGGAAGCGGTGTTCCGCACTCTCGCCGCGGCTCCCCCACTGTTTGTGTTTGAATAACTTAATGGGGACAGCGATAGCACGGCTCGCTCGCTCGGAGCAATGCGACGCGTTGGCTCGTGCACGGTGGGGGGGGGCTGTCTTAGTAAGCTCTGTGTGATGTTGGCATGTCAGGGGATGTCTTGGTAAGCTCTTATGTTGATGTATCAGGTGACATATTTGCAGGCTCTGTTGGTTAAAACTAACTTGGTCACCTGTGGGTAGTGTTGGTGAAGTCGGTACAGTTACTCATCATAGTAATACAACATGTTGACCTACCTGGTACAGTCATAATAAAACCAAGTACTCTCGTAGAAAGCTGTGTGTGGTGATGGTGAACCGGGTACTGTCATAGTGAGCTGTGTGTGGTGATGGTGAACCGGGTATTGTCATAGTGAGCTGTGTGTGGTGATGGTGAACCGGGTACTGTCATAGTGAGCTGTGTGTGGTGATGGTGAACCGGGTACTGTCATAGTGAGCTGTGTGTGGTGATGGTAAACCGGGTACTGCCAGTGAGCTGTGTGTGGTGATGGTGAACCGGGTACTGTCATAGTGAGCTGTGTGTGGTGATGGTGAACCGGGTACTGTCATAGTGAGCCGTGTGTGGTGATGGTAAACCGGGTACTGCCAGTGAGCTGTGTATAATCTAGCCCCGCTGCGAGTCGCCATCAGAGTCATGTCAGCCCGCTGGAGTCACGCGCCCTGCTCGCTGGCTCGTTCACGTTGGGAATGCGGCGTGGGGGGGGGGGCAACGTGGGGGGGGGGCAACGTGGGGGGGCAATGTGGGGGGGCAATGTGGGGGGGGGGGGGCAACGTGGGGGGGGGGGCAACGTGGGGCTGGCTCGGCGCGAGAGCTGCGGCCCCCAGCAGCAGCAGCGCCGTGCGGGCTCGGGGCTCGGGGCTGGGCCCGTCTGCGGCAGCCGCCACCCCCCGGGGAGTGGCGGCTGCGCGGCCGACGAGGAAGGGACAATGGGACGCCTCCGTTCAGAGACGTCTCTCGCCAACACGCACGTGCACACACACACGCGTACACACCTGTGTGTGTGTGTACGCGTGTGTGTGTACACGGTGGGGAGTGGTAGTGTAGTGGGTAGGGGCCATCCATTTCGTAGGTACCCAAAAATCTGTCAACTTGACCCCCCCCTCGCTGGTCCGAACGCGGACTTTTCACACCCCCCCCCCCCACCTGCGTACGTTCGCTTGACGCACCCCCCCCCCCCCACCTGCGTACGTTCGCTTGACGCACCCTCCCCCCACCTGCGTACGTTCGCTTAACGCTCCCCCCCCCCCACCTGCGTACGTTCGCTTTACGCACCCCCCCCCCCACCTGCGTACGTTCGCTTGACGCACCCCCCCCCCCCACCTGCGTACGTTCGCTTGACGCACCCCCCCCCCCGAATCCTATAGAACGGCCGGTATTTAATCCACGCAGAAACGATCAAGGATTAATAATTAATGTTAACGTTTTAAGTAAACAGTCCACCGCCGGCTGCATTAAAGAATTAAGTTGCGTACCTTTTTAAAAAGGTGTGTCTCGTGTCCGCTCGGTACAAACGCCGACTGAACCCAGTCGAACGGGTGACGCATTATAAGGACTTCGTCAACACGCCCAATGTCAGGCTGAAGCACAGCAGCGTGATGGTTGCAGTCAGGGGCACGAGTGACACGTCTCCCACAGTCCCACCTCTCCCGGCAGGACTTGTTGTCTGACAGCTGAAGACACTGAACTGTGGCTCATTTGAAGGCCAATGTAGACACATTATTGTCGAGGCTTCCCCCCCTGCCCCCGTTTCCGATGCGTACATTGTCAGTAGACCCCTTCCACTCAAGCGAACGCATTTGGGTTAACCTCCCCTCCCCCCTCCTTGCGTACGTACTGAATGGATGGGCCCTTAGCGCTACGCTGCGCTACAAACGCGGCGACCCGAGTTCGATTCCCGCTCACGGCCAACACCGGTGACGATTATCTGAACCGGTCCTGGGCCTCCCCTAGGTCCACTCAACCTCAAATGAGTACCTGGTGGGGTGTGAAAAAATCATCTCCACTCGGGAGACAAAGACGTCCGTCCAGGCGTGGTGCTGGCCACCCACCCCCTCGTGGGCCATGCTGGCATTCATAGGTGCTTGCTAACAGGACTTGCCCCAACAGTTTGTTGTAGGCTATACGGGGAGGTCTTTGCATGTCCACGAGATTCACGGGGCCTGTGTCCGCGAATCGCCACGTGGACACGTGACCTGCTGCCGCCCCTGCTGCTGTGTTGGCAGTGCAAACGACAGGAAAAAGGGCCTAAAAAAAGGTGACGTTTCAAGCAATGGGCCTTCATGTGCTGTGAGATGCATCGTGCTCTGAAGAAGAGCCATTGCTCAAACCGTCTCCTATATTGTACTCTGTACATTACCAGGCTAGTTCAAATGTAATAACAGGATCTTCTTTTACGGTCACCGAGATGAAATAAATACCTCAACATCTAGCTGCCTCGAAGTCGAAGTGGTGTTCTGAGCCGCATTGAGGCATTGGTGCTCAATTCCTGCTTACAGCCCTGTAGTGGAAATTCCACATTCCTATGATGGTGGGAGGGGGGAGTCTATCCGTAGCACAACCACTTTCCCTCAAAGCGATGCTCATTTTATGGATCCGAGAAAGATGATGAGCTGGGACACCCCCCCCCCCCCCTCCTCCACGAACCAGGATTTGAACTCTCAACCTTGCGATTGTGAGGCCGCTACCTCTACCACTGAGCCAGCACGTGGCCGTCTGATTGGCCTTGTGGAACTCTGCAGCACGTGTGTGCTAGCTATGCCGCACATACAGTAAGGGGCGATCACGACTTGGTGGCTGTCGGCGCTCGTGTTCCCGGAGGGGGATAGAAAGCTCAAAGTTGGCACGAATCTGGCCTGCGCAACGCCTGAAACTAAACAACAAAATGAACGTCTGAAAACGAGAATTGTGAAAATTTGGGCCCTAAAAAGAATTAAGTCTTGAAAGTTGATTGGTTTCACCCGTTGAGCTGGGCGAAGAATTGCCCTTTATCGTCAATAGTGCTTGTATGGGCGACCACGGTGCACACGCACAGGTGCTATAGGCTGCTGCGAGGCTGCGCCTTGTACCTGGTGGTCAGCAGAGGGCGTTGCAGCAACTTCCATCGTTGTGCTGCACTTCTATGCTGCCACGACTCGGCCTCTCACCCTCACCAACCTGCGCTGACCAGCGTGGTCAAGCATGGTCAAATAATCCCCCCCCCACCCCCCACGACCCCGCCCGGCGTGGGGGGGGGGGCCCTGGTCCAGAGGTGCATTAAAACTGACAGCTGCACACGCACACGTGGTGCAGGGGCACACGTGGTGCAGGGGCACACGTGGTGCAGGGACACACGTGGTGCAGGGACACACGCATGGTGCAGGGACGGACCACGCACGGTGCAGGGACGGACGCACGCACGGTGCAGGGACACACGCACGCAAGCATGGGGGCCAATTCTCCTGCACTGCGTGAGAGCGCAGCTCGGATATATACATCTTTGCACGCACACACAAACCCACCCACACGCAAACTCTACAATCCCTAGTTATACATTTGCCTTTCTTGCTGTGCACTGCTACACCTTGAACACAAACACGTCGACGCCGCTGCGTTACTACAGTGCCTTTTCCATTGGCTCCTGACCAGTCCGCTGGAAGCTGTCGTTTTTTTTTGTTGACGTTGGAATGCGGCCGTGGCGGCGGGTTGCGGCGGCAGTGGTGGTTTTTCTCCACGCGGTGCGTCCGCCTGCCCCGGGCGGCCGGTCGGGAGGCGGCGGTTTGCCGCTCGTGCCGCGAGCCCAGCGGAGGCAGGCCCAGCGCTCGGCCGAGGGCCCGCAAGCCGAGCGGCAACGGCGGGGCCCGGATCGCGGTGCCCCCCACCCCCACTCCTGTGCAGGCACACGCAGAAGAGGAGCGGCGTGGTTATTATTGATGGAAGGGCTGACGACTGCCCCACTCGTCAGGGCTGGAGAGAGCCCGGTTTAGACCAGGGGCGCCAGGCCTGGTGTGGAGTTGTCGGCGTGGTCCAGCTCTGTCCGGCTGCCCGTGTGGTGGTGGTGGTGAGGTGGCAGGGCCAGCGGAGGTCGCGGTGCGTGCGCTCGCCGAACCGGTTTCCCCGTAATCGGCACGATCTGGGCTTTGATGGCGGGGCTGCAACCATCGCCCTCCGAACCCCGCAGAGAATGAAACGAGTCAGGGGAAACGTCGTGCCCACGTGTGCGGATTGTGTGGTCCATTCTTTTTGAGAGGTGGTTGTGTGTGGGAAGAGTTTAATTCGCTGTACAGAAGTCGACGAGGGTAGCTGTCGGGACGACATGCGTTGTCCATGTGTGCACGTAGTCCTTGCTTTGGCTTGCGTCTCTAAAGTTTCAAGAAATCGGCCAAATTATAAATCGGCCCTGCTGGCCTCCCCCTGCACCTCTGATTAGAACGGTTGTCTACTTGGGGTGCGTAAGATCAGCATACATTACATTTTGTCCAGTTTTCTCTCGGTTACGAGAGTTACCGCGACCCCCCCCCCCCCCCCACCACGTTAGACAGACAGAGCTAACGCGGCAATGCCTTCAAGCTTGGAGGGTGTAGAGCAGCGGCCCCCATCCTTTTTTGGCACCAGGGACCGGTTTCAAATAAGCTCTCCCCCTTTTCAAAGAAGCCCTCCAGCGACGTTTGTTTTTTATTCATTTTGGCTACTAGGGGTTAGCAGCTCGTGGGCTTACCAAAACTGTGACTGACAAGTGCGGGGAAAGAGGCGCGGACGGAAGTGGTAAATAAAATAATGGGGGCGGGCTACGTGCAGACTCGCCGCTCTCACCTCCTGCTGCTGTGCGGCCCGGTTCCTAAAAGGCCACGGACCGGTACCGGTCCGTGGCCCGGGGGTTGGAGACCCCTGGTGTAGAGGATCTGTCGGTGCCAGCCCTGTGACTCCCGCACGCCGTCCCTCCCTTGCCCCCAATCCCACCCCGCAGGTGACGCTCTCCATCAGCAACGAGCTCAACGCGGGCCTGGGCACCACCTTCTGCCTGTGCACGGACGGGCAGCTCCTCCTGCGGCAGACGCTGCACCCCGAGACCAACAAAAAGGTGCGAGCCTTTGATACGTGCTCACAGACTCGTTGGGCTCGCCGCATGCTGGCTCTTAAGTCCACTCGAGACGCTACGGGACATTTGAGGGCAATGGTCGCCAGAAAAACGTTTGCTCCGAGTAACTGTGGGAAATTTTGCTTGGGACCGGCACAAAGCTAGAGAGCAATATGATATGGTGGGGCTCACATTGCCGAAAAAGGTAAAAATTGGCCCGGTGCATCATGGGACTTTAAAAAAGGTGGCGGCACCTTGCGGTGCGGTTGCCGACAGCGAGGGGACGTGCAAGTCCCGTTAGCGGAGACTGCACTGCCCACATCCGGCCATTGTCCATCGAGGATGACGATCAATACGATTTTTTTCATAAACATCAAAATGATAAATAAGCGGTGAATCGTTACCGACGTGCGGAGCGATGTGGCCCCCTTTGAACTGCCTCGCTGGGAGCATCGTCACCGAGCGCCCACCACACAGGTGTCGGGCTGTACGGGCTCTCACCTGCTTAGCTTCCGTGATCTGATCATGATCGGAAGCATTGCGAGTGATTTCGTCACAGGCTCTGGATAAGTTGACCAATGATCATCGTCGCCGTCATTACTTTTGTTTCTGAAGGTGTGGACGGTCCACACCTTTAACCCCCAATCCGGCCCCACACTCCCCGGTGGGTCCAGAGTCCATGCGGAGAACGAACGGGGGGTGGGGGGGGGCAGATGGGGTGCGGCAGGCAAGGATTGGGGGTTAAGGGTCGAGCCGCCGCAAACGGTGCAAGTGTTGCACGTGCAGCGTTTCCGTGTTGGCGCTGCGCTCACTATTCCAGCCGTGCAAATTTCCCTCTCACCTGCTGGAGGATGTCCTCTAGCTTCTATCGCTCTACTGCGTGGGGTCGGCCGCTCGGCTCTTCTCTCCCCGTTCTGGGACTCTCCTCCTAGTCACCTCCGCTACCCTGGTCTCTCGCTCCCCCCCCCTTCACCCTCGGTCTCCCTCCGCTGCTTCCACCCTTCACCGGTGGCATCTCCACTGCCTCTGCTAAACGTCCCCACGATGTCGCGCATTTGCCCTGGGAGGCATCGCCGCGTCTGAACGTCTGGATGGATGATGTATGTACGTACGTATGTTGAACGTGTGGGATGGATGTATATGTACGTACGTATGTTGAACTTCGGCAAAGTTGCGGCTTCTGCCCGCGTAGACCTTTCTGCGGTATCTCCTCTGCGCGTGCTGGGTTTTCTCCGGCTACTCTGGTTGTTTCCCGCATGCGAACAAAAACGGCTCCTCGTAAAACAATTGGCCAAACGGCTCGGGCGGCGGGGACCCTCCTGAGAAGAGAGTCTTGAAACTCTGCAGGGCTTCCCTGGCTGGCGGTAGAGGGAATATGCTTGCACGCGGAAGGTTGCAAGTTCAACTCCTGGTTCGGGTTTCTTATGATTGTTATTATTGTGTAAGGGAAGTTCTCTGTTTGTCATAAGGATAAACTCACCCCCACCATAGAAATGTGTAATTCCCACTTTGCTTGGGGATGTAAACTCCTCGCCATGGCTCAGCCTTGCAGCTTGTGGCATCTGAAACGGTCTTTCGCCCCCACCCACCAACCCCTTCATCAACCCACACATGACCCCCACGATCAACGCGGCGCAGAGGAGACCTTCATCCAGCAGTGGATAGACCGCGGATGACGATTGTGTGATGCACGAACTGTCGGCACCTGCAGTTTTGTACAAACCCAAGTCTTCATTTTTCCACTGAACATTATCGAGGTTGCTGGTAAACCGGAGGAGGTGGCATGTGGTTTCTCAATGCAGCAGCTACAGTGCGAGGCATTCTGGATGTGGTGTGTCGGCTGAAATGAATGCGTGCCTCTGTCCCCCCCCTCCCCCTCCCGCCGGGCCCCCACAGAACGTGACGCTGCCCGAATGCTTCTACTCCTTCTTCGACCTGCGGAAAGAATTCAAGAAATGCTGCCCCAACTCCACCGAGCTGCGCGAAACGGACGTGGGAAGCATGGCGGAGCGTATCCTTTAGCACGCGAGCGACAGCACCACCACCATCGTCATCGCCATCTCGATCATCATCGTCATCACCACCAACACCATCGTCATCGTCGCCATTCGGCTGCTGCAACAGCCGCAGTGTCCAGCGGAAGGGAAGCGACGGCAGCGATGAACTTGGTTGTGAGATTGTTCCGTGCGGTGACGGCCCTGGAGTGGCTCGGTAGTGGAATGACAGATGGGGGCCATCTTGCAGGCGGAGGCGCTGCTGCTGCTGCCGCCCGTAGGCGCCGCGGGGAGTTTGTGTCGACGCGGCAGGTACACCACACGAGCCGAAAAGATTTAAAGCGGCGGTGGTGGCGGAGGCGTCCAATAGGAGCGCGGCACGTCGCGTGGAATCCAACGCACAGGGAGTTTTTTTTCTTCCTTTTTTTGTTAAATGCCGTGGCGTGTCGGGGTGCGGGGGAGAGGCGGGGTCCGGGGGAGGGTGCGGGGGAGAGGCGGAGGGGGGGAGGCGGGGGGGAGAGGTGGGGGGGAGGCGGGTTCACCTGTGGGTGGGAGGAATGCAGTGTCTGCCAGCCCAGGTCTCTCTCTCTCTCTCAACACAGCCATTGCGAGCGCACCCTGACCAGCCCCCACGCACGGCTCCCACGCACGGCCCCCGCGCACAGGCCCCCGCGCACAGCCCCCGCGCACAGCCCCCGCGCACAGCCCCCACGCACAGCCCCCACGCACAGCCCCCACGCACAGCCCCCACGCACAGCCGCGTCGGCGGACAGCGGTCACGGCTGCCCTCCAGCTCTATTCACTACGAAAATAGAACGACAGTCGTCATGACGACGGCGATGATGATAATAATGAATCACGATTCATGATTGATGTTTGGGTTGGGCCGTGTGGTTGATTTACTGTCCTAAAACCTCCCCACCACCCGAAAGAGTCCTCACTACCAATTTCGGTTGTGAGGATTGCTCCTCAACCCACTGGAGAGGTGGCACAACGTTGATTGGCACCGTGTAATATGCTGGCACCCGCGGCTGTTTAATTTGCTTGGTGGAGGAGTTTTGATACAAATCGATGATGCGTGCCCCACCAGAGGGATTGAGCCGCGCTGTGCAGCACTTGGGAAGGAAAATCTTCCTCGTCCCCATCCTAGCGACGGCCATTGTTGTAATGGGCAGTGAGCAAAGGTGCAGCCCTGCAATGCCACTGCTGGGGGAAAGGGCCTGCGATCAAGGGCATCTTTTGAGAACTTCCTGGGAGGGTATTTTACTTCTAGATTTGAAGCTTTTGTGACTGCAAGGATTCAAAATAAATAATAAAAATAATAGAAAAAATAATAAAAAATAAATCGCGACGTTTCGGGCACAACACAAGCGTCCGTCATCAGGTGGGACAACCACAGCAAGAAACAAATGCTGAAGTGGGCATTATTATTTATTTTTACCTACGTGACTTTACCGAAAAAAACCTAAGAGTAGGGTATTTTACCTTCCCTTCCACGCCGACCCAGATGTCTTGGATGGGGAGCGACCCACTGTTTATCCCACCGCACAGTCGTCCGTCACGCGCTCTCGGCAGTGCCCGCGTGCGCTGGGTACCGCGCGAGGTGCTGCGTCGTGATGGCACGGCGCGTTGCACCGCCGTCGTCGCTGGCGCTGGGGAGGTATGCGCCGGCCGTGAACCGGTGTGCGCTCCGCCCACCGCACCCCCCCCCCCCCCCCCCCCCCCCCCCCCGGGCTGAGAGCTGTGCGCACGGTACCGCAATCATTTACTCCTCCGCCCTGCCGCAGGCTTCTCGACCAACATTTGCACGGCGCGCGTTCCCCATTCTGCCCCCTCCACAAGACGCTCGTCCCACTCCCTGGGCAGCTGCAGCTTCTTAATGCATTCCCAGTGAAGGTTATCGGCGTTCGAGTTGGCTCCGTCCGCGTCTGTCTGCCAGGAACGGGGGGGGGTCACCAGAATGCCAAATTTGACGATCGGTGTTGAATGAGAGGGGGGAGTACAGCGTCGTGCTGCTGTCGATCACCAAAGGTCGCCTTGAACTCGGCGACAGGAACCGGCGCTCAAAGTATGTCTCGCCGGACGTCGCGATTTTCCGTCGCGTGTCTTGCGCCGCGTGATGTCGGCACGCCGTGCGGTTTCGAATGCCGGTTGGCGTCGCCAATTTATCGTTTCCCCGGACAAACGTGTGTTGGAAAGCTTTGCAGATCCTCACACATATGAGTGATTATTATTCCTTGTTAAAATTTGCAATTAATTTGCTCCACGCCGCTATTGAAGGACAGGGCGTGAGGTGAAGGGGGCGAGGGTTTTGGTTGAACACAAGTGCGTGCGCGCATGCGTGTGGACGTCCGTGTGTGCGTGTGTACGTCCATGTGTGTGTACATGCGTTCTGTGAAACTTGTCGGCAAAACGGCGCGCGTGTTCGCGGCGGGGAATCGATCTGAACTGCGACAATTTCCTTAACGTGCAACGCCAGACCTGAGCGTGGAGAGCGAGCTGCCCGAGTTTGGGGTTTCCCACGTGCGGCTTATGGGCCGGATCCTGCAGACAATTCTCACGGATCCCTACAGTGAGTACCGCCAACATGGGCACCGCCACCACCACCACCACGTGGATGCCACCACCACCACGTCTTCCTCCTTCCTCCTCACCGCCGTGACGGGGAGACAGGAGCTCGCCGCCGTCACCGTGGTCACGCTCGGCACTTCATTATTAATGTCCCAAGAAGTCAACAATTCATCAATTTTAAGACGAAATGAAAGGCGTATTACTCTCAAATGGCATATGAATAATTGAAAAGAAGTGAACAAAGAGCAGACACTTGCGTTTCAGCTTTTGAATTTCTCTCGTTTGTGTGGAGAGAGTCTGCATCGAGTTGTCTCTGAACGTCGCCGTATTTGACCTGTGCTCTGGTGCGTCGAGATTGTACCGCGTAGGGGGAGGGTGATCCAACATGAACATGGGCCAGGTCTGCACGCGGCAATTAAGCCCTGGTCACGGCAATTGTTCAGCGCCACCGCCTTGGATTTTTATTACCGCTCTCAGTTCCGCTTGGTGCAAGTGACAGTCACTCCAGAAACTGCCACAACTCCAATTACCCAACTGGCCACCCGTTACCACCACCGCCACCGCCCCTGCTTGTGTGGCAGTTGTCCCGAGGTCCTCTGGACACCGTGTGATGCTCGTGTGATGCCTCCCCCTCCTACCCCTTGCCGCGCTGCTGAAGATCACAAGCTGGACGAGCCGGAGAGGATCACGCACAAGTTTGAATCGGGGACGTGGTGAGTGCCAGTAGCAATCGACTGCCGCTGTTTTTACTGTTTTGCGTGGCGATGAATTTCACGGATTTTCAAATTCTTTGCTTACAGCCACGATCGAATGTCATAGGTCAATCGCGATACGATAGGATTTGAATTCATATAATGTGCGAAGGTGTGGAGCGGTGGCGTCGTGGTTAGTGCGCGGCGCTATGAACCCGGCGACCCGAGTTCGAATCTCGGTCACGGCTGACGTCGGTGGCGAACTGATAGTTATCCAACCGGTTTTGGGCATCCGCCTCTGGCCCGCCACCGCCCGGTGTGCTCCCGAGAGCGACGGGGCATGGGGTGGCCTTCATCCAGAAGTGGATTGGTAGAAGGCCGCACTGGCGTATAAGCGTGGCTTGCCTCTCGCGAGCCGCTTCGTAATAAACACGAAGCGCCGCCGCGCACGCCGCGGTGGCCGTGCCGCGCGGCCGGTCATGGTGGCGGCGACCCACCCCCTCGAGTGCCGTGCCGGCCTTCGTAGGTGCTACTTGCTAACACCACTTGCCGACAGTCCGTTACAGCTAGAGGGGATCTTTGTTTGTTTGGCGCCGGTGCGGTTGGCGCTAACCGCAGCGCCGTGCCCCGCGCACGGATCTCTCCCGGCAGCAAGACCGAGCTCGTGGACAGCAACACCGTGGTGAAGGCCCGTGGCCTTCCCTGGCAGTCATCCGACCAGGACATCGCCAAATTTTTCCGCGGGCTCAACATTGCCAAGTGAGCCCCCCCACCCCCTCTCTTCAAACACGCAAACATGCTGCCGCCAACATCGTTGTTTTGGAGACAAAGACGCGAACGCTCGTTTCTTCATGGCACTCGCGCCGCCTACGAACGCCGTGTCGGCGCATCTCTTGCGTGACCGCCCCCGGGGTCCCCTGCCCCCCCCCAACCCCCCGATGCATGAACCTCGACCCGACCAAACCAGGGGAGCGCAAACCCCACGGTTGCGTATCGTGCTGTGGGTGGCCGGGGCGAGGCGAGCTTTCCCGGCCCGTGCGCGTTGTCGGTCGCGGCCCGAAGGAAACTGGCGTCGGGGGGGGGTCTCTAACGGCCGCGTGGCGCCACGGCCGGCAGGGGCGGCGTGGCGCTCTGCCTCAACCCCCAGGGTCGGCGCAACGGCGAGGCGCTCGTGCGCTTCGTGAGCGCCGAGCACCGGGACCTGGCGCTGGACCGGCACAAGCACCACATGGGCAGCCGCTACATCGAGGTGAGGCCCTCTGCACTCACGGCGGGCGCTGCCGCCACTGCCGCCGATCAGCCGCCCCCCCCCCCCTCCCGGGGTCGGGTAGCGCGAAGGGGTTGGAGGGGTCGTAGGGCACCGTTCCCAGCTCGCTCCCGATTGGGTGAATTTCACGACGGCGGCGTGGCCGGAAGTGTGGATACATGCCGAGGACGGCCGGATTGATGTCAAACTTAACGTTGCATCGCATTTATTGATTTATTGGAGAGTTGTGTGACCTTAATGTAGTTCTGTGATGCCATCTTTCAGGGCCGTTCACCGACCCGAGGTGATGTTGCACCGCGCACAACATGTACACGTGCCGCCCCCTTGTTCGTCCACTGTTGAATGACGGCCTCCCCGTGTCGTGCGGGCCGTCGGGGGCTATTTGGCCATACTTCACCACGGTGGTCAGTGCGGGCTTGGTGACGGCGGGCAGCATAGACGTGGGAACGTAGAGGCACAGTACAACGGGATGGGTTTTTGCTGCACCTGTCCTCTGCCAAACCACCACGTGTAGCGATGTTTTGATTCTTCTCGGGTGTGTGCTTGCTCTCTTGTGCCGTGCTTCATTTAACCCAGGGGTCCCCCCCCCCCCCCCCCCGAGGAAGGAGACTCCTCCTGGTTGCAATGGGCACACGCTCTTGGCCGTGAACGAAGGCCGTCCGTCTATCCTCTCTCCATCTGTCAATCTAAACCCACCCGGCGGCCCGGCTTCTGCCATTTCTATTTCACCTAATTTCTTTATTTGTTCACGTGTTTTGACCACGGTGGAGGCAGCAAGGGGCGGGGAGGGAGCGGTAATCTTCCTGCTCTGGCCCCAAACCCTTGGATGAAGTCCGCTGCTCCGGAGCTGTGCACACGTGGAATGTCCTTCCTTGTTTATCTCTGCAGGTGTACCGTGCGACCGGAGAGGAATTCCTCAAGATCGCTGGAGGTGAGAGCCGCCACTAACGGCTTCTTTGCTGCTCACCTTTGAAATGAAGGAATGTTTATTTATACTGGAAGAATCTGATGAGCTATAAAGCTCTTTTTCACAGTTGGCCGGTAGGGGCAAACGATAAACAAGTAAATAAATACGTGGGGCGCGTGCGCATCGGCAGGGCGTCCGAGACGGTCGACGCGATTTCTACGTCCGCAGCTTCGTGACGTCGGGGGACCGATGCACGCGCGGCGAGATTGCCGTGTGATTCTGGGCGCTAATGAGCCAGAAATTTCCACCCACGGACGCGGCTCCTTCCAGACTCGTCGCTCCTCGCTGGTGGAGCGAGCGGCTCTCATTCAGAAGGCTGTGAAGTTTTTAAAAAACAGCTGGGGGGGGGAGGGGTTAGACTCGGCCCATCATCCATCCGAGGTCTAAAAGATGAGCACCACTTTGCGGGGGAGTTAACGGCGGTTGTCCTGTGGGCAGTCTCGCCCACCACCGTAGCAATGTGGAATTTCTGCAGCGCTGTAAACGGGAGAGGAGCCGCCCGACGTCTCGACGCTCACCGAGCGGGGAAAATCGCTTTTGACTTTGAATGTCAGCGGTGGACTGTAACGCCGTGCTACCTAATTCGGGGAGTTCTTTGTCTGTCCGTCCGTCTGTGCGTCTGTCAGACGGTCTGTTCGTGCATCCGTTCGATTGCCGGCGCGCAGGCACGTCCAACGAGGTGGCGCAGTTCCTGTCGCGCGAGGGCCAGGTCATCGTGCGCATGCGCGGGCTGCCTTTCGCCGCCACGCCCGACGACGTGCTGGCCTTCTTCGGGCCCGGCGTGCCCGTGTCGGGCGACCGCGACGGCGTGCTGTTCGTGCGCCACCCCGACGGGCGGCCCACGGGCGACGCCTTCGTGCTGTTCGCCGGTGACGACAGCGCCCAGGCGGCGCTGCGCAAGCACAAGGAGACGCTGGGCAAGCGCTACATCGAGCTGTTCCGCAGCACAGCCGCCGAGGTACAGCAGGTACTGCTCTCCTCACTGGGTTTCACGTTTCGGGATTCCTTTTCGGAGCTGGGGGGAGGGGGTCTCCCCCGTGGGGGTTGTCTCTGGTCACCTGTTGGGCTGTGGAGGTTGGGGTCTGTCGTCTTTCCTGATTTCCTCTCGGTTCGCGGGGTAGCTGCTGACTGGGGGTGCATGCCCCCTCCCCCCTCCGCGCCCTCGACGAGGCATCACGCCGTGTCTCGATGCGGTCGCCGTGACGGTCGCCGAGACGGTCGCCGAGACGGTCGCCGTGACGGTCGCCGTGACGGTCGCCGTGACGGTCGCCGAGACGGTCGCCTAGACGGTCGCCTAGACGGTCGCCTAGACGGTCGCCGTGACGGTCGCCGTGACGGTCGCCGTGACGGTCGCCGTGACGGTCGCCGTGACGGTCGCCGTGACGGTCGCCGTGACGGTCGCCGTGACGGTCGCCGTGACGGTCGCCGTGACGGTCGCCGTGACGGTCGCCGTGAGCGACGGGTGAGGTGGGCACGGGGACGGCTGCCCCCCGGAGAGAGAGGGGGGGTCGGCGGGCCTGTGGCTCGATTGCAGCAGGGCACTGGGGAGCGGTCGAGCCGAGGTGTTGTGATGTACTCCCGTGCTTTGAGATGCGAAGCATCGAAGCAAGCGGTCCCGTACATGCAGATCCTCGTCCCTGACGATGGCTGTGTCGTCGCCGCTTGGCTTGGGTGGTGGCACCGTGGCCACCCTTGGTGAGTGCGGTGCGGTGGCTCGGGGGGGGGGGGGGCGTTGAAGATTCGCTGTCTGCGGCAGTCCGTGGCTGATGTAACAATTCGAGGTCACGGATTGACCTGGAAGTGGTCTCCGGTTCCCTCCCAGTTGAATGCTGAACACTCGGTCATGAAATCACTTTAATTATTTAATTCGATTAGGTCTATAAAATTGGAATTTATTTCATTGGCCACACATCGCAGGGTAGCAAAGATCCTCCTGAAAACAATCTTGACATACGCCGAAGCTATCCAGCAGACGTGAATTAATTATTGGCATTAAATATCAACATTTTTGTTGTACAACTCTTTCGGCTACCGTTTTCCATAAGCCACATTTCAATCCAATTAGTTGGCGCTGCAATGCACAAAGAACGGGCCGACATCGACAAAAGCTGCGTCCTGAGCAGCAGGACGCCTCCTGTGAGAGGCCGCCGCGTCTGGGAGGTTGAGCCGTCTTCATGCCCGACCCCCCCTCACATCTGGAAGTGTGTGGGGGGTGAGGAACCTTGACCTGAGCGCTGCGTACGGCGTTCCGGTACCTTTTTGGTGGGCACGGACATTTGATGCGCTGTGGAGAACGGCTATTTCCTGACACGTCACCCGTTTTATAAAGATTCTGTTTAATGTCACTGTTATACTGATGAACGTGTTGATTGTAATAATTTAATCATCCCCCCACCGTAATGGAAGACATTACCCAAGGATGAACCTTCCCCGATCAACGTGGGGATGGTTTGGCACGGCCAGGATAGAGCCATATTTTGAGGGCCTCTCGTCCGGAAGCTGGCAAGCCAGTCGCGGCTGTACCAGATCTTAGCTCCCTTCTCCACTGCACAACGAAGCCGTGCCGAGCTAGTTCGCCAGGTTGCTTTTCCACTGCAGAACCAGAACCGTGCTGCTTGGCTTCGCTCGCAATGAGTCGATTTAACCTCATCCCGGCCCTGCGTGGCCCTCAACTATATTTGGCATCCCGCGAGACCACGGCATCACGGTTCGGTTCCAGCTCCGGCAAAACCGTCGGTGCGGTGGAAAACCGGCCGCGTCGCGAAGAGGGGGCCCCACGCGGGCGCAGGAGGGGAAATCTGACGGGACCTTTGCGACGGGCGCAGGTCCTGAACCGCTACATGTCGACGCCCCTCATCCCCAACGTGCCGGGGCCCATCCTGCCCATGATCCCTCCGCCGATGATGGGCGGCAGCGTGCGGGACTGCGTGCGCCTGCGCGGGCTGCCCTACTCCGCCAGCATCGAGAACATCCTCGAGTTCCTCGGGGAGTTCACGGCAGACATCCGCCCGCAAGGCGTGCACATGGTGCTCAACCAGCAGGTGAGCAGCTCGGAGGTCTGCCTCCGGCCTTCATCGGCGCTCGCCGATCGCGCTTGCCTTGCCCCCAACATGTAGTATCATCGTCGTCGTCGTTGTTGTCTAACTTCCCACTGCTGGGCAAAGGCCTCCGCCATTTTTATTTCATTTCTTTGCCTTCCTTGGTGGCTGTTGCCGTTGTTGTTGTTGTCCAGTTGTGGCCTCAATTCGGTAAATCTCGTCTCCCCGTTGCCGTCTCTTCCGTTGCCCTCCTCTGCCATCTCTCTCTCTCTCGGTATCCACTCCTCAATGGTTTAATTTCAAACGTTACATTTTGCTTTTCCTTCGCTCTTCGAGGAGGATACCATAATGAAAATCCCAATCGCGACATCGTCCTGATTTCCACTTGGTGCAAACAAATCTCTAACAGCCGGGCGGTATGCTGGGGTAGTCCTGATGGGTGAAGTTTGATTTAAATGTTTTCACCATTATCCCACCTCTCTGCTCTTTGTTTTGCTTTGGGGGGCTCGTGTTTTTTGTCTCTTCCCGTAACCGTCGCGCCGAGCCCACGGCGGGATTGTCGCCGCGGGTGGGGGGAGGGTGGCGGCGGTGTCGGCGCTCGCTCGGCACGGAGAAGGGCGACCGACTCGCGCGCCGCGTGTCCCCCTCGGGCGGCGTGCACTGTACGCGGGCAAGCGCCGATCTGGCCGGACGGGTTGGGAAAAACCGGAGGAGCTCTGTGTGCGTTTGTACAAAAATGTCTGCGGGTTTTTTTTCTCCCCCGCCCGTGCGTACGTGGCTTAGGACAGTTTTAGTAAATAATATAAATAAATAAAAGGGTAGCCTCACCGACGCGGAGAGATGTGATATTAAACAGGCCGTGCTGGCTGTGCGGTGGGTTTGAGGAAGTGAAGAGACGGGCACGCTTGCGCTGTGGCGCTTTTTGAAGTGGGCTGCGCCGTACAAACCTCCTGATGAGTTTTATTGAGTTGCACGGCCCTCGGTAACAGCCTAAAACCACCGCAAGAGAGCAACACAATGCCGAGGAAGGGGGGGGGAGTTCTGCAGTCGTGAGATGTAGGGTGTAGTTGAGGCGGCACAGCCTTTTTGGTGGATTTCACAAATTCCTGCCAAACCGCATCGACCCCCGAGACCGGACATGTCAGCTTCTTGGTGCATCGCGCCACGCAGACGACTGCTGGGCGTGGCGGTGCCCGCCTGTCAAACAGCGCCTTTGGAGGCAAGGGTTCATGGATCCGTGAAACTCCCAAACCGGTGCTTGACGTGATGATCAGGAGGTGCGAGCCCAATGGGGTTGGTTCGTGTTGGCTGCTGTCCGGTCCGGATCTTTGGGTGCGGCCATTCCCACCGTTTGTGAAGTGTGGCTCTTCTCTGGGAGCTCCGGTTCCCTCCCACGCACGAAACTCATTCAAAAGGAAACTGGTGAAACGCCCGGCTTGGCACTCGGCGAGTCCCCTTGGGCCTCTATGCAAGCCTGTGGGTTCATATGCAAGTTCGTAGGCTATTGAATCATACGCGAGTATGTGGGTCTCTGTGCGAGGACAATGGATGAGATGAGACAATAGGCTACTGGCTACCTGGGGAAAAGAAAATGAGCAGCCGACCCCATACAACAGTGCGATTTGTGGCTTGGACAATGAAAATTCTGGGTTTCTCATGCACAGCCATGTAGGTCCTGGGGTCTCTATGTAGGTCTATGAGTCTCTGTGTAATGGGACTTTCATCTTGGATAAACAAGATGACGTGCCGCTGAGAAGGCAGCGGCCCCCTCCCCGCACCCTCCCCATGCTCGTCCATTCCGGCCGCGGCGAACTCCGGGCCCCCTGACACCCCCCCCCCCCCCCCCCCGCGCCATCTCCCGACAGGGCCGCCCATCGGGCGACGCGTTCATCCAGCTCAAGTCGCCGGAGCGGGCGTACATGGCGGCGCAGCGGTGCCACAAGAACCGCATGAAGGAGCGCTACGTGGAGGTTTTCCAGTGCTCCGTCGACGAGATGAACCTGGTGCTCATGGGGGGCTCCCTGAACCGTAACGGGCTGTCTCCGCCTCCATGTAAGTTACCACGTAAGTTGGGCCGCTTCGGGTGCTCTGGGCTGCCTTGCTCGACCTTCGGGGTGCGTCGCGCCTGGTGCTGGGGTAGGTGCCTGTCCTCCCCTAAAATCCCCTTACCCCACCCCCCTCCGCCCATCCCCTTCTGTCGATGTCATCGATTGTGGGTGAACCTCCGTTTTTTAAATTCGGCCGAATCTTTTTGGTGATCGTCGTCGTCGTTGTTGTGTGGTGGTCGTCGTTGCTTTTGTGCGGTGAAATTCGTTTCTCCCCGCCTACCCCGAAGATCGTGGGCTCTGCTGCTAAAATGGTGCAAAATGCGATAACGTTCCAGTAAGCCAACGACGATGAAGTGGAAATCGGTCATTATATTTGCTCAAAGTTTTCCATGATTTTGCACTGTTTTGGTCGGCGTAGCAGTGACAAATTATTTTCAGTGAGTGGGTGTCCACCCGTGTTGAATACCTGCCAGAATTATCTATTTGTCAACTGAAAAGCATCTGCACGCATGCTTGTAAAACCGATCAAATATGCCGTCATTAAAATAACACCGCTGCGTTGATGCGATCAGAATGCGGTGGCGTAAATAACGAGCACCTTTTGAATGTCGATGAAATTGAAGGGAGCTCCCCGGTTTGCGTTCCCGGCTGCTGCCGCTCGTTGTTCAGCGTGACGTCCGACGTTTCGCTCGATGGGCTGGGAGCTTCTTCAGGAACCAATCTTCCAAGCTCTCCCAGCACGTGGCGCGAATCGCCGAGCGTCACGCGGAAACGCAGCGCGGCGTGAACCGAGAACGCGCCGGACGGCACGACCATGGAAACGCGCGTGCGGTCTGATTTGAAACCTGACGCGGCGGTTCAATGGCAGGTATGCGCCGGCACGGTCGCCTTGCCGTGGACTCTGCCCCATGGGAATCGCAGTGGGGCGCCGCAACCTCCCCGTGATTGGGCGCGCTCTCGTTTTCACCGCCTTCGCTTGGCTGGCAGGAGCTGCCATCGCCGCCCCAGCCGGTCGGATCCATGTGCCGGATTGGCGGCGCCACCGCTCCTCGGCGCCACCGCCGCTCGGCGCCTTGCGGCTGGAGCGCGCAGGCGAGATTATCGCTGTGGTCTCGGGGCGTGGGGTTTGTGGCCAACCGGGAAGCTTCCTCATCGGTCTCTCTGGGTTCAGCCTCCGCTCCACCAAGCCAGCACGGCTCGTGGTGGACGCACAGCGTCGGTGTGGTGGGGAGGGGCCGGCGGAGTTGGTGGGCTCCCTGTCGATGGGGAGGGGTGGGGGAGTTGTGCTTTATTTAAGAAAGCATGTGGAAGATTTTCGGTGACCCCCAATTGAGTGTGTGCGTGTGCCGTGGAGGCGTTTGCGATTGTTGTGGCACAGCTCCCAGGTTGATCTCCGAGTTGTTCGGGCACGGTGTCCGACGTTTCGCTCCCGCGTGCCGATGTTTTGCTCTGTGCGCCCTGGAAGCCTCTTAAGTTTCCGAGCGTCGTCAGAAACGTAAAGAAGCTGCCAGCACACACGGAGTGAAACGTTGGACGTGATCGCGAATAACACAATGGGACAAACGACGACCCGAAAACACAGCGGAGAGTTGTGCGGCGTTTGTGTGGCGTGTTGGTGCATGTGGGTACGTGGGTTTTGCGAGTTTTACGAGCGTGCGTGTCTCTGCGTCTGTGGAGCCATTTGAACTATGACCACTCGCAAAATTTTCAGTTGGAGCTCCATAAACTGCTCTTGTGAGATGACTCACTGCGATAGCGCATTCGGACGGATGACACCGACCCGGATGCGGCCGCTTGGGAACAAACCAGTCCATCATTCGAACTACGGGTGGATTTGTAACATCGAAGGATTAATCTGTAAACGCCCTGGCATCACACAAGTTAACGCAATTGTGGGAACCAGATTTTGAGATCGAGAAACTTTCAAAAGTCTGTGCCCAGCGCCACCAGCACGGGCGGTCCTTCCAGAGAGACGGTGCCTCCCGGGGCTAATGATTGACTGCTGGAATGCTCTAAGTGGCCAATAAAGGGCAGTGAAGGTGGAACGCTCGGGCGGTTTAGAGGCTGCAGCGATGAGGAAGCTCGCAAAGAGAGGACTCTGCCAGGTGGCTTCAGTGGCCACCACCACCCTGGCGACGGGGTGGTGGCGCCAAGGCTGGGTTGGGTGTAGTGTCGCCGCTGGCTGGGACCGTCGACCCAAGAACCGCTGGTTAATACGAATGCTGGACACTTTGTCCTGATTTTGGCGTTTTGGATTTTGTGAAATTCCAGAATTGGGTAGTAGGGACATGGCGATGCACTCGGCCAGGAGTTTGATGAATTGTCACGATTTGGGGTCGCGATTCGATTGTTTTGCTGTCCAATTCTAATGTTGGTGAGCGCAGTTTGCTTTGCTCCGTTAGCTTAAATATAACATTACCAAATCGTTTTAATACATTTAAATTGTTCAGTCGGTGCATCGTAACACTCCCGGTATTGGGCTGGTAAATATGCCACGCCATCACGAATGTCAGCAGATGCCAATTAAATTTTGTGGCCATCTAGAAAACGAAAATTTGTGAAAGGACCCACGGCGGCGACGGCTGCTGCTGCGTGTACACACGCAGTCGCTAGTGACCGACCTCTGACGAGTGCCTCCCTCGTGACCTCTGGACTGTGCGCAGGCCTCTCCCCGCCGGGCTACGCGGCGTTCCCGGCGCCGGCCACGATGTTCCCCGGCGACGCGGGCATGTACCCGCCGCAGGTCCTCCTGAGTCCGCGTAACGCCCCGCCGCTCCCGAACGCCGGAGCTGGCCACGGCAGCGCCGCGGCGTACTACCAGCCGGGCGCCACCGCGCAGCTCTACATGAACTACACGACGTACTACCCGAGGTGCGCGGCGCCGTCGGCGGCCCAGGAGACTCGGGGGGCTCCGGCGCGGGGGTCCGCGGGGCGGGAGGCCCCGGCGTCGGGGGCGCCGTTGCGGGGGGCGCCGGCAGCGCGGGCCCCCGCCGGCGCGCCGTGGGGCGGCGGCGTGATGACGCGCTCGTGCATGGTCTACCTAAAGAGATGACGGCTGGGGTTGACGCGAACGGCGAGGATTGGCGACGGAAGAACGCAATTTAAAAAAAGTAACAACGCGACGACGCTAGAGTAGATTTACAACAAAAACGCTGTCGCCGTCGCTGTCGCCGTCGTTGCCGGCCATGGTTTAGCCGCTGCTGGGCAAAGGCCCCCTGCCCAAGCCACAGCCGTCTCTCGCGATCCTGCGACGCGTCCAGTAGCCGCGTGAACATCCAACGGTCGAGCTGTCAACGCGTCCCCTTCCAAGACCCTCCGGAGAAGAGAATCCCAAGACTCGCCGAGGCCTTTCCGGATAAACACCGCGTACGCGTACCAGTCACGCGACGCAAAAACCCATCCGGTTCCTGCCACGCATGAGAGCTGGTTTCGCCACTCCGTCTCCGCGGTGGAAGTCCTCCTTCGTGCACACGCTCCCTCCTCCGGCTGCGATTCCGTCTCGATCACCGGCCGTCAACCGTTCTAGCGCCGTGCCCTGCCCGGGGCCGCTCTCCCGGATAGGCCGATGTCGCCTCCGCCGTGCCCCCACTCGCCGATCCCGCACGTTCCTTCCCCTCCCCGTCTCTCTTGGTGCAATTCCCAGCATGCACCTCTCCGTGCGTCCGTGCACACTTGAGAGTTATTACTCCATTTTATTCGCCAATGTTTCCGATCCATATGTCATAGCGGGCTACGACGACAGTGAATACACGCTAGGACAATAGGTCACCCGATGGCCACTCTGTGCGACTGAATGAGTTTTGTCTAACTTGTTATGTGTTATGCCTGTTAACGATACAACAACATCTCTTTACTTTTTATAAAAAAAAAATCCTGTGAAGTAACGGAAACAATAAAGCATTTTAATTTTCTCACATTTGGTGGTTGTCCTTTTGAAATTTGTGTTAACGTCACTCTGGAACTTTCTGGAAATGAACTTCATAACGAATAAGTAACTAGAACGTAGTATTGCGCCTAAAGAACGAAGTTTAAAGTCAGGGACCAGAACTACTTGCTATGACATATGGCTCAGAAACACGGTCTCCCCTCGCTAAAACACGGAACTGGTAATTGTGCAAAACGGCACGGAGAGACGCACGCTTGGCATTGTGTTGTTGGGGGGTGCAAAGGGGAACACGTGGACTAGGGGTAACGAGGCACGCAGGCTCCGTGGCATCACCTGTAAACCGCTGAGAAGGGCGAGCGAGACCGGGGGAGGGCACGGCTAGAAGGGACGATGGCCAACGGTCAAAGGATAACGACGGAGTGGCAGCCGAAGGATGGAACGCGCCGTCCGAGAGGGACGTTCACCCATCAGATGGAGCGATGAAACCGCCGGTGCGGTCGCAGGATCGTGAAATGTGGTGGCAGCTTGTGGAGGCTTGAATCCAGATTGGTCCTGGCTGATGAAGACGATGATGGAATCGATGGACTGAGGATAACGATGCGTTCCCGCACAACACTTGGCTACGGATTCCAATGGTCAGACCGGTTCACGTCACAGGAATGTGGATTTTCCACCATTCATTTCGGACTGCCAACGGACACGCACACAGGTTAACTAATGTGGAACGCGAGTTGGCCGGCCACCAGATGCCATTACGGCAGTAGATTCTTGAATCTAGCTGTGCGAAGCTCTGGGCATTATTTCCCTGTCCTATTCCCCGTGGGTTTTCTCCAAAACACTCCGACGAAACATCCCAGAGCAGCAGCATCGGCACCCTCTCGTGGCAGTCTTGGGACTCCCCCTTATTGTTACGATGTTTACAGTGCAACGTTGCGTATCCGACCGCCAAATATCCGCCCTGACCAATTTGGCTGCCCTTACACCCAGCACGGTACGTGTGAATGGCGGAACAAATTTTCTACGAATCGGACCGTTCCACGCACGGATGCGCCCTCGGTCCCGCACTCACTCGCCGTTCCCGGAGCGCACGCTCCTTCCGTTCCCGTAGTTCAAGCGGCTCGCGCTTGACCGTCGAGTAACCCGACCTGCCCGCCCCGCCCAACCGTAACGCTCCACAGACGTTCGCGTATCTGCAGCAGCTCCCGCCCCCATCCGCCTATAACCGCCGTCCCCCCGGCGGGTCCGGATATCGGATGCGCGACGTTTGTACCGTGCCGGCACGGCGGAGCGGAGGGGTCGTCGGCATTCGCTCTCTGACGCTAAGTTTCGCTCTGCAGCCCCGCGGCCATGTCGGCCATGTCGGCCATGTCGCCCATGGCGCTGGGCTACCTGGCGGGCCCCGGCGGCGCCATGACCCCGCCGCCGGGAACGATGATGCGCATGCCACCCATGCCCTACGGCGCCGGCGGAGTCAAGGAGATCCTCAACTTCGTGCAGGGCTACCAGGTGGGTGCCCCTCCGCCCATGCCGCCGCGGAGTGCTTGGGAGGGGGGGGGGGGCGGTTTGGTGGGGTTGGGGTGCCAAGGGAGGGGGGATCGGTGAGGAGGGGGGGGTCGGGGAACGTTCGTGCCGGTGGGTGCGTTGTCGGCAAAGAAGGAGGGCCGATGGTTTTGGGTTGCAGAGCTCCGAGATCGGAAGGGAAAAACTCTAAAACACACGGCAAGGGTTCGGTCGCAGACGCCCAACGTCCACGTCGTTGGCGACAGGCGACGGGCTCAAGTAGGGACCACAGGCACCGTTTCTATACTTGTAGCTGAATCGAGCACGTGCGGTGATTTTTTCAGAGATGAGCACGGGCTTTCTCGGAGGTGGCTCATTAAAGCACACATACACATATACATTAGCGCAGATTTACTTGGTTGCACGCACGAACACACGTGCACGCTCGCATACACGACCGTCACGTGGTCATAGGCGCACGCACGTGCGTCCTCGCCTACGGCCTCCGACCTGGCCTCGCCGCCATCCACGTACACCGTGCCACCCGGCCTCGTTCTCTCTCCGCTGTGAGCAGGCCACATCAGGGCCACACCAGGGCCACACGCCCCTCCCACTAGAACGCAGGGAAACGATAACGATCCCGGCACAACTCCTTGCCATCGTGCGCTCACTGCCGGTCACAGAAACGGTCGGCCCAACCACATGTCGATTTCTACGTAAAGTTGATTGGCCTGTCTTTCGAACGGGGCAGACGTGCGAAGTCTAACCAAGGCCGTGTCTGTGTCTGTGCCTCCCTGCCCGCGCTATGGCGTACGGGGACTAACGCGTGCGGGGTCAGTTCAGAGTGTGTTAGCGACCTTTGCGGGACTCTGCTGCCACTGGGGTAGGCTACTCACTGCGCCAGCAGCTCTCCCGGGTTCGCTTGTGGTGCTCTTGGCTCTCTCCGCTTCCCGCTTGCTGGCTTTCTAAGCTGTGCTTGGTCGGCGGTGTTCAAGGCAAGGTCGCCACAACCTGTCCGGCCGGACGGCTGTTGCGTGACCACCGCTGCCGTGGCTCCCAGATGTGTCTTCGGGTCGCACCGCGGGTTTAAAAAATATTGTCACGCCGCCTGCTGGGAGGTTCCTCAAGATTCAGGTTCCTAAAAATTTGGATCCTTAAGAAGCTTCCCAGGGAACGGAGCAAAACGTCGGACATCGTGCCGAACAACACGCGGCGGAGCCCGAAACACACTGGAGAGCTGTGCGCGGCAGCACAGCCGCAGAACCCGACGCGGTGGTGCAACCCCCCTACTCGTTTGGCTGCCACTATGCTGACCAGCCAAATAATGTGGTGATGACGACGACGACGATAAAATCTAAACGCAGTTTTCGGACCGCTAATAATCGGCTGTGGGCATTGACACGACGGTAACCTACGATCAGCACAGTTGGCTACGTACGGTGCGAGAGACGTTCTAAAGCTGCCCAAGGCGGTGACTTTCCGCACGCTTCCTCCACGGCCGGGGCTCGTTCTTCACGCCGGGCAAGCGATGGCGGCGCACGTGCTGGCGGGTGGCTGGAAACCAAGGCGCCCACTTGCTCGGTGCCTATTGTGTGCCGCTAATTGTTGTTTGCTTGGCCGCTGCCCCGCGTGGCACCTGGGCGACCGAGCAGCCCGCCCCCACCCTTGCTGCAAACAGGGCTTGGTATCGCGTCGAGGACCTGCGAGCACTGGTGGCTTTTCTTTCTCTCGCCCCTTCACCCTCCCCAACCTTAAATGCTATACTCATGCGTTATGCAATGGCCATAGCGAGACACAATGCTGCACTCTGATAATGGAGACTTACATTTCCCCGTTTTCCCTGGTGTGGATATTGTCTGCCCATCCGTGAGTTGTGTGGTTTCCAAATGTGGTGTCCTTCTCAATGAAGGTAGGTGTGCCGTGCCCTCTGCTGCGTGAGGGGGGGGGGGGTGTGTGACCTTGGCTCTTGGGGGTGTGTGACCTTGGCTCTTGGGGTGGCGGTGTTGTGTTGTGCCCATGCGGGGGAACCCTCTGTCGCCCGCGGGGTCCATGTGTCTCACCGACACGAGCCGCGTGGCAGGCGACGGGGCAGGCGGAGGGGTGGGAGCCGTCAGTTTCGCTTGTACGGATTTTATAATTTCGTGCGGTAACTTCCTCATTGTTGGGGACACCGTGGCCACATCGGTCAATGGAGGCGCCTTGAAACATTGTGAAAGGCTCCACGTTAAACGTAAAAAAATATTATTGTTAGTTTCAAAGGCATTGGCCGCACACTGGGCGATAGCAGGAAAACCCACAAGAACAGGCCCTCAAAGTCCCCGAGCTGCGCCGGGCACGGGGTCTGCAGACGCTGCCATTGCTCTGCTCTGCGACCTTTGTCCTTCGTCCTTGTGCAAGAGGTCGTCATCTGTTTGGCGTTGCAATTGGGATTTCAAGCGCTGGAGTTTGCGCATGTGAAAGGATTGGGCAAGGGTTTGTCAACATCCCCCCCCCCCCCCTTTGTTAAGATTAACGGCTAACACGGGGGGTGGTCCGTCATGATTGTGAGTGACTTGTGTGGGACCCGGTGGAGAGAGTGGAAGAATGGTTTAAACGTAACTGCAAACAACCTCCACGCGGGAACTTGGGCTGTGCTAAGTGTGCGTGCGTGTGCGTGCGTGCAGTTCCCCCACGACTCTGTGCTGCTCTTCTCGGACCAGCCTGGCGACGGCCTCATCCCGTTCCCGGCGCTCACCGGCGCCACGCCGGCGCTGACCGAGAAGCCGCACATGCACCACCACGCCAACCACGATGTGGACCTCTACCTCATGTAGAGCGCTGCGCTCGCTCGTCACGGCCACGTGTAACCGCCAACAGGCGCTCTCAAACTCCCCGTCGGTTGCCCGCCGCCACCCCTTGTCCGGCTTCCTGCCCCGAAACCCTCTTTTGTTTTGACGTCGTTCTTGACGAGGATATATTTTTTGTAACGGAATTTTCGAGCGCCGCTCGCCGTCGAGCTGCTGCCGTGTGCCAGGCCCGAGGTGCCGAGCGGACGCGAGCGGTCGGGCACCGTGGTCGCGCGTCGCGCCGGTACGGTCGGTGGGCGTGCGAGCGCCTGTGTGGCGCGCCGGCAGAGGAAGTGGCCGGAGTGCTGTTGTACTGAGAGTTGGTTTGTGTTGTACCTGTATGGGGAGAGTGCCTGTCTGACATACCTGTACGGAGAGTGGCTGTGCGTGTTGTACCTGTACTGAGAGTTGATTTGTGCCACACCTGTATAGACAGTGCCTGTGTGTGTGTGTGTGAGATATACCTGTACACTGGAAACTATAACGGCAGTGCCACGTCAGGGAACGCGTAATGAAGGGAAACACTCGACATGAAGTGCCGCCGGTCACCCCAGTGAACGGACGAGTCCCTACGAGTCCCTTCCCTGCGGCCCAAGGAGAGAGGCGGCACATTTGCAGGACAAGGGGGCGGCGAACATCGAGGTCACGCAGAAATACGGAAGGGCCCCTGTCGCGCTCCTCAAGTGCCTTGGCTCCAAGCCAGCGTTGTAAATTCCACATTCCCATGCCAGGTGGCAGGAGAGGGGGGGGGAGGCAATGCAATCTCTCAGACGACCAATGTTGGCTTCTCACAAAGTTGTACTCGTGTTTATCTCCCTCCCCACACCCAGGAATATTGTGAGGCCGAGTCGAGGTCTCTCGTCACCGTGCCAGCTGTTGAAACACTACGAGGGGCTAATGAAACGTGATACGAATTGCGTGTGTGCGTGTGTGTATATAGAGAGTGCAGTCCTATTTTTTGTTTTGTTTAAAGTGTCGTCTACGGTCGCGTCACTGAATTGCCAAAACACTGAGGACCAAAGTGCGACGAGCTCCAAGGCGGCCCACGGCCGTATCCCGGCTGCAGCTCGGCGCGTGAGACTTTATAAAAGTTATTTTGGACAGGAGAGAGAAAAATTAAAAAAAACTTTACGATTTATGCAAGCATCTGTTTATGCAAGAATATAATGTTTAAATATGCAATGTTAACGGTTTGTGTGTACGCACACGCAGTCGGCGTTTGGCTTAAACCGCAAAGCTTTTTGTACAGTATTGTTTGTACTGTAGCACTAGTACTGCATGAGACCGATGCCGCAGAAACTCTGAAAATTCCAACGTACAGAATTATTTATGTCGAGTATTTTTGTTTTAGTTTTTTAGTTTTTGCCTTCTGCTGCATCAGAAGTAAATCTTTACACGGTTTTTTGTATTCGCATTCCCGTCGTCACCGTTACTTTTTCTCCGAGACGCAAAACGGCCCGGAGCGCCGCGTGCGTGCGTCCTCCTCCTTCGAGCATGAGAACCAAATTAATATCGATGCATGTTTATCTGTTTACATATGTTATAGTCGCTAGCCTCTGTTGTATGTTTTACAATCCATATGCATGTTCAAGTCTGCGAACCGCCACCCCCCCCAACCCCTTTTTTTTAGATCCCCTCCACCACTGCCCCCCATCCCATTTCTTATTTTTTATTCCCCCCCCCCCCCAATTCTCATTGACGGTAGTTACTTAGAAATTTAACTTGAATAGTGAAAATCGGAAGAGGAAAAAAAAGTAAGCAAAAATATAATAATCAGTACGTTTCTCGCATTTAAGGCACTACTAAGACGACGTGAATTAGCGTGTCCCGTTCCCCTACGATGCCCGCGTAGATGTTTGTTACAGGCGACGCCACCTCGTTGTAAAGTGCAATAGCAGATGAGACACTGAACCCGGCCGGTGGCCGCACTGGGGGCTCCCCGTGCGGCCGGTGGCCGTGATGTTTATGGTTCAATTAGCCCAGCAGCGCCGCGCGCCCACCCAACCCCCCCCAATCGCAACTCTTGAACTGTTGTGTATACAAAGCCATCGTTTATAATGATAACGCCGTATGTACTAATATAACAACACAGTAGATTTCAGTATAATTTCTCTTTATATTGCATATCGTTCAATAAAGTATTCCTTCGTAAGAATGCGGGGCGTGCCCTGTGGTTTTTCCCGACTCGTGCGCGTTCCGAACAGCGTGCCGCCACCGCCGCTGTTGCCCAAACGAGTGGAGGAGGGGGACACAGGCTTCGGATTTCAGGCGGAAAGAGGAACGAGGGCATAAATTATGGAGCGTTGCGCCGGTTCAAGACGGCATTGTGAGAGACGGCGACGAGATTGGTCGGTGCCAAAGAGGATTGTCACGTCGGGGACCAGGAACGATTGGTGGCGACGACAGCGGCTTGGGAAGGCCTTCATCTAGCAGTGGATCGGTCATCGCCGACCACTTCGTTTGGCCAGACCCAAAAGACCCACGACGGGCAGAGGCCCACGGCTGCATTGAGCGTGGCCCTGTTCCGCCCTGCATGGCGGCGTGGCTGGTGCTGACGGGAGAGGGTTAGAGGGCACATGGGAGCCGCGTCCAGAGCTCGTGGTGGTCACGCTCCACCGATGGAAGGCAGGCTGGCCGGTTAGACGAGAACGAGGTGGGAGCCAGCCAAGGCCAGGGTGCAGTTGTGGATGGTGGTGGGCTGAAGTAGCTTTCACCCATGACGGTTCACCAACCCCACTTAAAAGGATCCAACATTTACACTATGGGGACCTCATTTGCCAGTAAAAATATGATAATTGGTTCTTTACCCTTCTATCTGGCAACAAAACTGACACCTTTTTGCAAGGAGTCATGTTTGCATAGACCGCAATACCTGCAGTCATAATACAAACAAAAGAACATAACTCTGTGCACATTATCAGAGTTATGTTCTTTTGTTTGTATTATGACTGCAGGTATTGCGGTCTATGCAAACATGACTCCTTGCAAAAAGGTGTCAGTTTTGTTGCCAGATAGAAGGGTAAAGAACCAATTATCAGGATTCAACATTGTCGGCCATGGTCAATCCACTGCTGGATGACTATCGCCAAGCCGCAGAGCAGTGCAACCCTTTGTTGTATAAAATGGCCCAATGAAGTGGATATCGCAAAGCTACCTCTGAGGTCACTTCAAGAGACCTCTGGTTCACAAAGTGGGTTGGGGGTGGGGGGGGCAGCACTTTCCCATCTGTTCTACCACAAGAATATTTTTTGCAATTGATATTCCTAATTCTCAGAGCTTGAATTAAGATGATGTATGGGCCAAACCAAAGTGAGAGTGATTGCTAATGTGCTTGTCGTCATTGGTGATTGCGCCGAGGCCAATTCGCTGCACTGGGTGTAATTGCAGGGGGCTGAAACCTCGATTCAAACTCTGCTTCTCAGCGGTGCCAGCACGGAGCTCTGACCTCTGGGCAACCAGACCACCTCAAAGGCACGGTTTGTTACCAAGGCCAGCGTGGGGTTACACCCATGTTGAGACGGCGTCGCTGTTAAACGCTTGCATGGAAAGGGTGGAGAAACCAAATAGAACCCTCTTAAGTGGTCGGTGTAAACACGCGCATGCACACAGCAAGGCTGGCTCTCACACACAGACCCAGCGGGAAAGCTCAAAGGTCGCGTCGCTGCTTGGACGCACTGCGCATGCGTACTCATCCAGCAGTGGACACATTGTAGGTGATCACGATGATGAAGAAAACTGTTGAGGACCATTTGAGTGAACTAATATCTGCACAGAACAACATCAGTACCGTCGAAGGACCTTCCTGCTGAAATAAAATCTAGCTTCAGTTTGACACTACGCCAGGCCGACACGCGGTGAAATTAAAAACATCGGAGAGCTACTGTGGGCATGTTCACCATATGGACAAAACCAGTCGGTCATGAGAGAGGGAAGGTCACTGGACTTGAAGGATATGGGCAAGGCCATGGCGTTGACGCTTGGGCTGAAGGAGACGTAGAATAGGCGAATGAGTGACCTCCCATTGAGCAAGGATTGATCGCTGTTGGCCACAAGTTCTGTTTGTTAGTGGGAATAATTACTCTAAAGAGTGGTGGTCAGTCGTAACAGTCACGTGATTACCTGCTACAAACACAAATGAACAACCAAACGATGCGTGACTGACACCTGAGTCAACCATCCGACCTGCACCACGTTCCAACATGAAAGGAGGCTGAAGGATTGACCTGAATGTGAGACCCGCTGACCTAAATGACAGTTCCCATGAGGTTGCCGGAAGCTCAGAGGTCCGAATGCCGAGCTGGAAAAGCGGATAGCCTAGGTTCGAATCTAGACTGCTGCCTGTAAATAAACCAGGTTCCCAAGCATCGGGCGAACGGGTCCCACCCCGCTCGCCTCAATCCCGGTCTGCGGACCGAAATAAGACGAAGCGCGTGCCTTCATTCTAGATTTGAAGGTTTCGTGACTGCAAGGATGTTTAATCTTAGCTTTCTTATCTACTTCCACCCCCTGCATCACAAAGCTTCAGCTTGAACTCCATGCGTTGCCTCCCAGCGCCCTCCCTGTTCCTCACATCGTTGCCTCCCAGTCCACAGCCCGCCACACACTCACCATGGCCCCTCCCCTCCCTCCATCCCACGCGACTATATAATTCCTCGTCACAGCCATCTCTTGGACACACTTAAGCGGTTGTGGTGCTTACGCTACGTTGTCTCCACCTGAAGAAGGTTCGCTTGTGTTGCGCCCGAAACTTCGTGATTTAATTTAGTTTTCATTTATTTAATTACATTTTTTACCTACGTGACTTTACCGAAAAACCCAAAGAGTATGCGTGCCTTCAAGTTAACCGTAGCCGAACGAATGCTGCCCCGTCTGCTGTTTGGGACAGAAGTCATTTGAAAGGGATCTCAGTAGTATTTCCGTAACACTGATGCACCGCGTCGACAGCACAATTGGGAAGAGGCAAGAGGACGGCCGTTGTTGATCATCGCAGTTTCGCGTTTATTTACACAGCGCATTGGAGACTGAACGAGCAACGCGCGGAGTCGCGACCACCAACGGTCGCTAGCTACGGCGCGAGACGACACGCAACACTGACGGGGCAGAAACACGTAACGTCGCGCGTTTATGTGCAGCACTCAAGTGTTAAGCGCAGTTTCACAGACTGTACAGTCGGTGTACCGTGTATGAAAACAATCCATCGCCAAAATAAACATTTGTACAGTACAAAAACAAAAGAGCAAAAAACAACCAACTCATATTTACGGGACAGCCAGCCCGTGACAGCAATCATCTTCACTCATGCGTTCATAGACAGAGCTTTGATTTTCAGAATGCAAGCAGCCTGCAGATGGGAATGAGACAACGTATCCGCCTTGCTGGGCAAAATGTTTCTGTCGAGCCCTTCTACGCATGCACCGTCGTGGGGGTTATTGGACCGTACTTCACCACGCTGGTCAGTGTGAGCTGGTGCATCCGGGGAGCATAGAAGTACAAAACAACAATGGATTGGGGAAAATACTTAGAGGGAGCTCTAGACAGCCCCTCTAACTGGTGTACAGCATTCCCTCGTTCATTCACGAACTTGCTATCCGCGACTTTGGAAGTCCGCGAATGGTATCTGGAACTCTACACTACTGCTGCACGGAGAGTGATGAGATAAAGTGATGAGAGAGATGCGAGAAAGTGATGAGATCAAGTGATGATGCGCAGCATCATAATTTATGGTAAGGTCATTTATAAACTATTATTGAATACTTAAATATTTATTTTGATAAAATTTGTTTATCAAAGCCAATTTTTTTTATTTGTATGTATTCCATAGCTTATTTACGTATTCATTTAAGGTAATTCATTTAAAAGATAGGTTTTCGTAGGCTAATATAATTATCCGCAAAATTAGCGATTCACGACCATCTCCGGAACGAACCCCTTGTCGCGAATAACGAGGGAATACCGTATTCATTTACAATGCTGGGTGGGCAGAGCTGGGCGATTTAAGAAATTGGGCCAAACATTACAAGTATGTTGAACTTCTTTCGCACCGTACGTAGCCAACCGTTGAACTAAATGCACTTGGCATTTTTATGGCAGGAGCTGGACTTGGGTTAATACATTTTGATGAGCATCAAAAAAGTTTGCTCCTCCATTTCTAACGGAGAGCCACGTTGGAACCAGCGCCAGGGTGAGGTGTCCCTCGCAGGGGGGGAGGGGCGGGCCATTGCCCCCCCCACCCTCACTTCCACACCTTGACGATGCCGTCGCGCGAGGCGCTGGCGATGAAGGCCTGGCTCGTCTGGAAGGTGCAGATGTCGGTGATGATGTCGTGGTGACCCACGGGCGGCATGTCGGGTCCGCGGCGTGGCCGGTCCTCCAGCGTGGACGGTTTGGGCTTGCTCTGCATCTCCTGCAGGCGACAACGAGGTCACTGAAGGCATGTGCTGCGAGTGTGTGCTGCGCGTGTGTGCTGCGAGTGTGTGCTGCGCGTGTATGCTGCGAGTGTGTGCTGCGAGTGTGTGCTGCACGTGTGTGCTGTGTGTGTGTGCCGTGTGTGTGTGCCATGTGTGTGCTGTGTGTGTACCCCCCCCACCTACCGCCACAGCATGACAAACACGTCCTGAACCAGGCCCAGAAACCAACCAACCTACTCGCTAACCAACCTAATCGCTAATCAACCTACTAGTTAACCAACAAACCCACCCACATTCAGCTATCCCACCTACCCATTCAACCAACCACTCATCAAATGGCAGAGCCTAGTCAGGCGGTTGATTGGCCAGTTGCTGGAGAAGTGGAAGTGTGCGATACGTGTTGGCAAATCGTGACAAGTCGGGCTCACTTTCAGCTGGGTCTGTCCGGATCGGCGACCTGAATAATACTACAGCCGGCTCGCCACGTGCAGCGCAAGTCTCGTTGTGGCTGTGGCTACTATAGTCAAGTGCCACCGACTCCAGCCTACCGGTGACCCAGAAATAAATCGAGAGGGATATATTAATGCCCGATTATGAGCAACGGGGAAACACCTCGCTTGGCAGTGCTCGGCGACTTACACGCACTCGGCAGGGGGGGGAGCGACACGCGAACGACCAAGAGGTCACTGCTATCCGAATTGTGACGCACAAGGAGGAAAATTTCCACTCAAGGTATTTTTAGTTTTGT